GGGGGGGCCGGCCGAGGGCCCCCGGCGGGCCAGGCTCCGGGGACGCGGGCAGAGGTCGGTGGCGGCGGCCGTAGGTGGCCGTGTGGGGCCGGCGGCCCCGGGGTGTCCGCTGTGAGGAGAGGGGAGAGAAAATGCCGGCCCTGCCTCCCGTTTGTGTATAGCCGCGCTCGGGGTGTGCTGCTTGCTTCTTGTTGAATGTGCTCTTCGTAAATCACAGCGGAGAGGAATGATTTTTATTTTTTAAAGCGTAAATATGACTATAAGCCTACTACTGAAACATCCCTTCAGGTTGCAAAGTAACCTCCGTGAGTGTAATGGGATTATTGTATAGTAAGAAGAGCATTTTCGTGTTTAGGCTGAGAGGAAGATGACAAAGGTACTGTTTAGGAAATTTGCAAGAAAGAGGAGATGTTCAGCACCCGGCAGTGAGGGGAAGTCCCAATGCAGGAGTTGGTACCGAACTAAACCCTAAACCTTCCTTCTGTATAGCTGCTTCTCCTTGCAATGGTTCACGCCATTCTATTCCCTGTAAGGTATGAAGACCCTTCACTGCGATACCTGTGTAACAAGACAGTCAGGTTGGTTTTCTGCCTTGTTTACCAAGAACCTTATGCTGTGATGATGTTTGTCCATCTATTCCCTTTGTTCTCATCTTCCACAAGAAACTTTTGAGCCATTTGGATTATATGGGGTATAAGGAAGGATAGGGAAGAGGGGAGGCAAAGAGGGACTACTCTGTAAGAAACTCAGGCTTCATTCGTACCATTGGACATAAAGTGCATGTCTGTTCCCCTTCCTTCAGACTGCCGATTCCGAAACTAGAAGATACAATCCGGAGATATCTGAATGCCCAGAAACCGCTTTTAAATGATGACCAATTCAGGTATGGACAAACAAGATACGCGTATTGCGGTATCATGTACTGCTTCGAAGCCAAGTGTTACATATAAAAAATATGACTTGTGACATCATTTTGACTCTTACTGATTGCTGTAGGAAAACTGAAGAACTTGCTCATCAGTTTGAAAAGGGAATTGGAAGAGAGCTGCACAAGGAACTGGTTGCTCAAGACAATCAGAACAAGCATACTAGTTATATCACAGGTATGTTGGCCTACCAGATATAGAAGGAGTCTGTAGATCATCATGCTTGATAACACAGCTCATAATGCTACAAATAAAATAGGCTGAAGCTTAAGTTCTGTACTCCATAAACTTGGAGTAACATGCTGTGAATACTACCTGTGACTGTATTTGAGCAAATTCTGAGTCTCTGGTGGAAAGAAGAATACCCATCATCTAACTTATATATACCTGAATTCTGGATAGATGGATATTGGAGAAATGGTATTTTTTCATGAGTTACTGCATTTAAGTTTGAGTTTACAGGGTTTATCTTTTTTTTTTTTCCCATTGTTGTCTATTTATGTTTAGGTTAATAGAGGAGCTTAACTGGTAACTTCCTTAAGGAAATTAAAGCAATCATTTTCAAATAATTCCAAGTTATTTAGCAAGAAAACTGAGGGGGAGTCAGAGAATATGACTAAGCTTTGGGAGGCAGAAGTTGTCAGTGCTCTGGGCTTAAAACCCCCCACATCAGCTGGCTTGAGATGAAGTTGGTGTGCACTTGCTTCCTTTGTCTGCATCCAGTCAGTGTGCAATACCAGAGCTTGCTGCGTTTGAAGTGGTTAATGATGATGAAGTAGAACCTACTTAAAATTCGTCTAAAGAGCAAATAAAAGGAGCAACAGAAAGAGGAAGATGAGAAGAAAGAAAAACAAATTAAGAGAGGGAGAGTATGCATATAGTTTTTTGATTATTCTTCCTTATTATTGCTTCCACTGACTTCCAAATACAAGTGTCTCCTTATGCAACAGAGGCGGAAATATTCAAATACCTATGGAAGTAGAAGTTTGCAGGTTGCCCAGCGAATGCTCTTCTGTCCTTGCTATCTGTAGAGGCTACCCATGAGGGTGTTAGCTACCACAAATTCTGTAGAGAATACCAGATTATTTCACAAAAGCTGCTGTTCAGTTTGTTGTCTTTTACTTTCCATTCACTTTGAACAACATCTGGGGTTTTAACTGGTGGCTTTATAGTGTTTGTCAGCACTAACCAGCATGCTGCTTTGTGTCTGTGAACTGTGGGGTGTTTGTATTCCTTTTTGTTTAGTTATTATTTTTTAGGCCTCATAAAAGACCTGTTCCACTTGAAGTTGGTTTCTGAAAGTATGTATAGTTGCCTCCACCCTGGACTTTCAAGTCCAAGGTTAAAAGGCTACATGATGATGATGGATGTGGTTTTAAAACTGTAGATGAATGCTAGTTACTCACCTGGGATTCAAATTGTAACTTGGGTCCCTGAGTTACCCAGTGCCCTTCTTACAGCCCAGCTAGAAGGCTCTACTTGGGACTGATCCAGGCATGGAATAATAATTTTTAACATACCAGCTGCCTTGAGATGAAGTTGGTGTGCAATTGCTTCCTTTGTCTGCATCCAGTCAGTGGGCAATACCAGAGCTTGCTGAGTTTGAAGTTGTTAATGATGATGAAGTAGAACCTACTTAAAAAATCCCTTCTCTGCCTATGCCCCCTGGATTTTCATTTACTCATAGGCAGGTGTAAAGGTGTGACTACTTTTTAAAGCTATGATTAATTCCCTTGGTTTTGGCAAGCACAAAATCTTTGGGTCACATTTATGCTTCTTGATATGCTGACAGACTGTCTAAAAGACCTGTGGATGTCAAAAAGTCTCAAAGGCGCAGGAGCAGGCCGTCCCCATGTGCCGTAAGATGAGCAGGCGGGGGAGAAGACTGGCCTGGCTGAACAGAGAGCTTTGGCTGGAACTCAGGAAAAAAAGGAGAGCCTACCACCTTTGGAAGAAGGGGCAGGTGACTCAGGGGG